CAGTGCCAGATTTTTGCCAGCGCCGACACATAGTGGGATCTTATCGAATGCCATGATATTACTGATGTTGTATTCAGCGGAAGTTTCCGCATTCGCATCTTTGAAGGGTCTTAACCCCGACCTTTTCCTAATAATAAATAATTACCCTTTGTTCCACGGGCATCCCCTCTCACACACAACTAAGCCAGCCCGAAATAAAAAATTTCAGACTTGACCTGAATTGCCAACCAGTTCCAGTCATTGTGCTCCTATGTTGTCTCATGAGACTACTGCAAAGACGGACTAACAATGCCAGTGAGCCTTCACTTCCCTCTAACTCGCAAGGCGCGCAGTACATTGAACGGGTTTTGGCAACATGGGTGACTCTCCCATGGAAAGGTCCGACGAGCAGATGGCGCTTCATATGAACAAATAAAGCAAGGGGCGGAAAGGACTGCAAACGGAGTAGAGTATGAAAATGAGACATCTGCTCGGAAGTGGGACTATCGGAGAAGAAAGAGCTTTGTATGGCGCTGAAAGTCGTGTCCTCTGTGTCAAAATCGGAACTGTTTCACCTTATTTAAAAACGATGGTTATATATGACTACTGTCTACATAACAAATAACACATACATCTTATAAAGAATACAACATCTTAGAAATATTGAACAAAATATCTAAGTATCAAAAAATATACTTGTGGAAAGCGTTTTATCTGACAAGTAAGAGCTCAAAGCGACAAGTTAACGCATAATTTGGGGTTAGGGAGGAAAAATATGTTCAGAGGGTATTGAAAAGTTAGTTTCCCGAGTAAACAAGTGTATCGCGGTCATTTTGGATTAGATTGACAAATGAATTTTATTTAAAACCTACTGCCGTTTCCTTCGTACCTATACCGAGAATACACTGAACGCCCTTGTACATATATCCTACTTTATTACTCTGGGGCATTCACCAAAAATCATTAGTGAACGAAAGTCTCGTCGGTGTTCAAAAATAACAGCATAGAAAGAACCTTTTCAGTGACCAAATGGAATCGTACAGCTCATATAGCCGCATAAATCTTATATCTACTGAGCGCCCTCAGCGGGAAAATCAACTGGCAACGCACCTGTACGGAAAAGTTCTCGTTTCTTTGTTCGTTTTCTGAAGTGGTGACTTTTGGAGTTGACGGGAATTTCGTTGACATGTCCGCAACTACGACTAAGACGACGGCGTACTTCCGGTACGATGCCACGTTTTCGTGCAGTACTGTCGCCATACTGAGTCACTTTTTCGCGGTCAATACTCGCATCGTAGCTACAATAGGTTCTTATAATGTGCACAATTAAAACAAAATTGAAAGTGTGAACTCCAAAGAGATCCTAGGGCACCAGCGCTGCTGGGAAGAAGGCAGGACTTCCGCATCCCCCCTAGTCGAGGATAGCTTATGAAGACTGTGTCTTCTCTGCCAACATTTCGCGCGCGACCGTGTTTCGAGGCCCTACTCCTGGCTCTTTCCGAGGAAGGGCCATAGAAGCACGATTGAGTGCTCATCCAGCATCTATGTTACCGCCGACTCTAATTCACCCATAAAAAGTTATTGGATGCTGCTGTAGAGTACAATCACCTGACAGTACTGCAAGTTGTCATAAGTTGCTAAATCAATCTGGACGGGTCAGGGCACAGCGTTCGCATGGGGATTTTTGGGCGAGCTGTTTCGAGACCACCCCCCCCTTTTCTTCAGGGGCTGGTACGACCCCCGCCCCGCTCGGACAACTTTTTCGCCGAGGTATAAACACAACACAGTCAGCAATCATATTCATGAAAAAGTCGTCGAGCGGAGGGGGGGGGTCGTACCAGGGCACACACCACGTGTAAAAGCCCTCTCTCGGATCAATGTTTTATACCTGACTTGCTCGAATTTCTGAGATTTGAACTCAAGAATGAACTGTTGGCTGCAACTCTTCACTTTCAGGTTTTCCATTCACCATAATTACGCTTCCTATCGCGGAGATGGGGAGGGCACGGCTACGCACTGGATTCTGACATGGCGGCGACTTCCAGGGGATTTCGCCTTTTTCGGGGCAATAGTAATTATGCATCTGTTTAACACAAGACGACAGTTTTTTAAAATAGAGCTAACTTAACGAAAGCACATCCAACTATCTATAAAAGAAGTATGCAACCGCGCCCTCCTCATGACCAATAGGGGTTTACTTGTGCTCAGTACTGCTGACTGGGAACAGGCTTTTCCGGCACCATATTCGTTCCTCAGGATACCTTGTGTAGCCTGACAATCGAAAAGGATGGCATTGACGTCATATTTTTTTCGCCTTCGCCAACGCCAGGAAACCCATGATGCTGCGGGACAGCTTTTCCATGGTCCATCGAACACATTTCTATGACAGCTCATCATTCACAGCGCATTCCCAGATTCCTTTACTTGTGTAATATTGCATTTGAGGAGGTAGTGAATACAGGGGGGGGCAAAAAAAGTCATTCCGGCCGAGTCACATATGAGCGAAGTTTTCGCAGCCCAGACAGAGGAAGTGGATATGAGTACCAGGGCGGAAGATACCCAAGATCTTCCTCTATAAGCAGGAGCCGGCTGCCGCCATTCACCTTCATGTACACCAAAATATGAAGTCATCTCCAGTCGCGGCCTGAGTGGAGAACGCCTTTGGAATTCACGTGGCCTCCAAACAGCTTCTTGAATGGAATCACCCATGGATAGCTACCTGGAGACCAGTACTCTTGATCTGCAAGACCTCAACATCGAGCAGCTCCGGCAACGTCGCTACGGTCCAGGACATCATCTTCACCCCATTCACCAAGGCGCGGGTTGATGGTGTGGACCGGCCGTACCTGGAATGGGAAGACCGATATTTTCTTTGTAGACCCCGACTGAAGGTGAGCGCTGGCGGTTACATCAAGCAACTCGAGAAGAATATCCTCCTCACATGTCGTCGCCCGTACCTTCTTGGAAACTTTGTACTGCTACAGCATTGGGTGCCACCACATGGAATCGAAGGGCGTTGGAGAAATCGAAGGGTTTTGGAAAAACTCCCGCCTACTTCGAATGGAAGGGCGTTTCGTACCTGATGAAGATGTAATATTGAAATATGTCCCCTGACCTAAACCCACTCAATTACCTAGTTCGGGCGGAGCTCAACAGGGTGGTCTACAGTGGCGGAGAAATCAACGATCTCGCTCAACTCCGGTACCCACTCACTTTCGCGCGGCCGAATCTCTCGATGGCGCTCCTCCAGAAGGCTGTGGCGGAGTATCGTTATAGTATTTAATGTGCTCTTTAATATGGTAGTAAAAATGTCCGATAAAATTTAATAAAGTGTAACTTATAGCGCCTTGAAAGTCATGGAGACAAAATGACTTTTTTTGGCCCCCCTGTATATTAGGGAGGTCCATAATGTTCGTAACACATAGAAAAACTCTATGACATCGTACGCTACATCCCGAATTTTTTTTTACGCTGCCGTCTGCTCGAAGAATTTTTCGCTAGCGCACATCCGTGTGAGAGGGGGCGGGGCAGGCCAAGTGGACACACGAGCGACCCTTCTTTTCAGGGGACTGTCTCTGTAGGATATTCAGGCTTAATCCAAGGGGGGGGGGGTTGCCAATCGTATGGCGCTATCATAGACCCGACACTTTGCAGTTATACCTCAAAGAATAAAGGATAAGGCTCACGACGCTGGTCACTCCCGCTAGAGCCATAGTGCCCTATTGTGGACGATAAATCCATACAATGCAATGACTTGCGTGACTACCCGATGCACAAGTCAGTGTTTTCATTCTCCCTGACCTGGGCTCAAAGGGTAGAACGCCTGATTGGCATGACTGGATGCGATCCGGGTTATGATTATGGGCCACGCGTAGAATAAGCGAGGCACTTGCCATTACACCACCTTCGCCTCATAGTAGTAATGCCTTACAACTGGATAGTTATTAAAGAAATCTTACGCCTTCATTTTTCATCTAGTAAACCACCCATTGAGTTTATTAGACTAGACCGGTTATCAATCACGGTGATGAAACGGGTGAAAAAATGATTACATTGAAATACTGCACCTAAGATTGACAGGCGCGGTGAGAATTACTGACGCTGTAAAAATGATGGCAGAGGAAAGACATGCGATGAGAACAAGCGGTATTAGTAAAAAATCGTGCGGTAAAAAAAACTGACCCAAGGTTCAATTTGTGCTTAAAGGCTCGAGACCTACGATTTGACATCGCTGAAGAACCGTCGAGGACACACTCTCACACACACGGCGACATCCCAAGTGGACATAGAGCACTCCGTGAGTGATTTGCGGCACGAGAGCGCTTTTCCCCCCGTCGGTCACTTTCGTCGGGTTGTTATTTTCGAGTGGACAGGGCGTCTTTGGACAACACAAACACCGTTCGAAGTTTATTGGCTATAATTTGGGCTTCAGGGAGATCGGGGAAATACTGCTGTTCCATGGTTTACTGGATAAACGCCATGCCTCACCAAACGTAAACGTAGGTTCAAATCCTTCCGGAACCAAATAGCCTAGATTGCAGCCTGACCTCTCGTTATTCAATACGCATCTGATACTCCGTCGGTGGTTCTCTGGTTCTTTCCGTAAGGAGGGCACGGCGTAAGCTGCAGATATCCGGCCAGGGGATCGTATTCAATCCCGTACAGGCGTCGTATTTGCCTTAGAAAAGAGTGTTTTTGGAATTTTCTCGATGCTCATCGTTGCACCAACTTCCCCATTCTCCCCCCCCCCCCGATTGCGGCAGTTTTTCGGGGGGGAAAACGGCCAATTCTCTACGCGAATAAAGGCAGTTACTAGATAAACTAGGGAATGCTCAAGAGCATGGCAGCAAAGATGGCGCTGAGGAAAAGGGGTCGTAAAAAATACGCCGAATCGGCAGGACATACCTGCTACCTGCGACTTGTGCTACTAGGACAGGATTCTACAACAGGACCATGCGTCATTCTGTTAGGTCCTGCTCCTTTCCAAAGATTAACAACAGTGAGACTAATTAAGATTAGGTCAGTCATGAAAATGTTAGGAAGATAAGTTTGGGAATGGATAAGAGCACAGCAGCTAAGATGCCGTCTATGGGGAAAGGGGGTCGCGTAAACAATACCCGAATCGGCGGGACGTACCTGCTGCCTGCTGGGACAGAAAGCTCCGACAGGACCATGCGTCATTCTGTTTAGTCCTGCTCCTTTCCGGATGAGACTAACAACAGTGAAACTAACTGAGATTGAGGTCAGTTCGCGAGGTTTGTCGGCATTGGTGCCTAAAGGGACCTGCAAACAAATTTGGTAGTTACTCCCATTCGATAAAGCCAGCCCAGAGTCCTTCATCGGGGACACCTTGGTCAAGCAGAACATGTCCCGCCGTTGGGGATAAATTTTGCGAAATATGACCCCTTGAAAGTTACTTCTCCGGCACAACCCCTCCCTTCCCCATGCCTCATCCTATTTGCAATTCCTCTCAATTTCCCGAGCTCCTAGTATTCCTCTAGACTTTATTTTATTCATATATTTGTTGTTTAATCCCCTTTTTCCTCCCGAATTCCACTCTTTCTCCCTGAAGAACTGCCGTTAAGCGAGGGAGGAGGTACATCGCAAAAAACTGTGAGAAAAGTGAGAAAAGTCTGCAGCCACTACTACTCAGAAGCAAAAAGGACCACATGCCCTCCAGCGACCTAGTACGACTCCCCCCCCCCCCTTTGTCAGAGATTTTTTAGCTCTGCGACTTGCTCTTCTGGGAGCCCTGTGGAATGTGTGTGAGTTGGCAGGACGCGGGATAAGGACGGAAGGTTTTCCTACTCTAAGTCCCCCCCCTTCTCATCAAATTAACTGATTTGGTCAGATGAGCTGCCAATGAATTGCACGATTTGCCAGAGCAAGCAGTGCAGCTGCCATCAGTGCATCTGAAGGTTACCAGTACTGGAAAACCAGCATTCTCTGAAGTGCCTCATAGCATCCGGGTATTGCACAGAGGCTGGGCAGTGGCTTGCGGCCTCGCATGACTTTTGTAAGATCGAATCCCACCCGAATTTGATGAGTGTACACCCGCTCAGCTTGATTAATGATACCAGAATCGTCTATCATGAAGAAAAACATTGACATAACCTCGGGCGATCCGTGACCCAGGATAAAAACGCCACTTTTCACTCTTCCGCCGTCCTGTACAGCTTTTCAAGACGTCACGGTGCTCACTGGGATTTCTCCAATCGGAATTCGCAGACGATCCTGTTATCACTCATATCAGGACTTTCAGTGCTTCACTGCTTCCGGATTACAAGTCTAGTTCTTGTAAAGCCTGTGAACTCCTGTAAAGCTGGAGCAAGCTCTTCTAGCCACCATGTAGAACGTGTCTACTCAAGAAAAGGCTATCTAGATGGGTCGACACATCAGATGGGAAGCAAAATGCCCCCCCCCCCTCTCCCTCCCTGTCGCCGAACTCCCTCTTACCAGCTCTCATTTTGTTTTCTAAAGAACTCGCTGCGATAAACCCAGCCTCTCTAACACAACGTTCACAGCGAACAAGGCTCTTCTCTCTTACGTCACATGGTCATGCCCCACATTATCCGTGGTAATAGTAAGAGTAAAAATGATGATGACATGGCCAATAATAATAATAATAATAATAATAATAATAATAATAATAATAATAATAATAATAATAATAATAATAATAATAATAATAATAATAATAATAATAATAATAATAATAATAATAATAATAATAATAATAATGACAATAACGAAGAGAGTAAAAACAAGCAGCAACTTTTCTCTTAACTATGCCTTATTCACGAAGCTCAGGTTGGAGTGCTGGCAAGTGGCACGCTTACACGAGGGTATGAGGTCCATCCCGGATCGGTTCCTGCAGAGGTCCACCAAGCTGTCCACCCTCCGGATCCCAATAAGACCCGCCTTCTGACAGCCGATGCTCCTTATGAGCTCAAGAGAGAGCTAACGAAAGTTCGACGCAAGTATCAAGGACCATTACGTTACTGAGACGGAAGTAGCGCGAATACCACCCGCGTAGTAAGGGTTTCGAATTCCAGATCAACTCCAGCCGAGGCTAACCAAGCATGTTTACTCAACGTATCTAGTATGTTCCATAAAAGTCTGAGAGGATAAGAGCACTGGCTCGTATACGGCTAGCCCTCCCAAGGCTACACCGCATTCAATAGCTAACTACGATTCTGACTGGAAGGAAAGTGCGCGGCGCATCCCATAGAGGATGATCAGTGGCGCAGATTTTATCCTTAACCTTGTTATCTTCATTTGGAGCGTTATGCGGCCTGAAACTGGTTTTAAGAGATTTTGCTCATGAGAGCAAAGTATCGAGGGAACCAGTTTGCTGCAATAATGACTAAAAACAAAATTCAAAAGTCAAATCAAAAATTCGAAAAATAAAGTAAGAACCTGAGAAATGTTTCTTGTATAATGTGCGAGGCATTGATCTCGCAGAAGATTCTTTGGCATGAATGGAGGCAACACGTGTCGTGTCCTTAATGAGTAGGTAACAAGTGAACTTTGATTAGTTCGAATGTAAATAGTCGAACTAGTTTGATCTTTCTTAGTCATAACATTAAACGTTTCAACAATGAATAATAAAACGCTGTGAATGAGTGGGCTATGTTGAAGTAGTGAGGCTTAAATGAAAGTGCAAAGAGTTTTTTGTTCAAGGGGCGAGAAACTTGCTTGGTAAACGGGAGGGACGACTTGCATGCCCCCGCATGTGACGGGCGGCTTTCTTCTCACGACTGTCTCCGGAAACATGTAAATGCGAATTGCTCTATTGAGAAGTGATTCGTTATTTGCATAGAGAAGCACTTACGGAGTTTTATTATGAGGACAGGAGGTAAAAAAGGCCCATGAGGGAGCCCCAGTGAATTTAGTTTCTTCTCGCCAGAATGTGCATCTGACATGCTCCTAAATAGCCCTTTCGGTAACAAATTACCCACATCTCATTTAATAAGCATGCATTTGCACACGGGACGCGAGGATGTTCTTACTTTGCGACGGCGTTCACCAGCGACCAATAGCGTTTCAAGCGTCCGGCAGCGTCAGCGACTAGGAAAGCATAGCTATCGACCTAACCCACCGGTGTGTGCAGCCGCGCCGCATAACTACTAAGCACATTATGCAATTTAATGTATGAAGTAGTAATGTTTGCACACGCCGCAATTTTGCGACACTTCATCCAGCTGCTACTCTCCTTTTTCCCCATTCTTCTACTCCCAGCCCTGGTGAACGCTGGCTAGATCAATACCTATACTCCCCTAGCCCTCTAGAGGCAGGCAGACGCTAGATCGGTATCTATACCTTCCTGGTCGCCGACGCTGCCAGACGCTCGGAATGCTAGTGGTCGCTGGCAGACGCTTGCAGACGCTGCTGCAAAGTATGAACGCAGCCTAGGCTGTTCTCTGCCCCTATTCAACTTGTGGATAATTTCACAGAACTTGTGCAACTAGAGGCACTCAAGAGCACTGTGTCCCATCAAGAAACAGGGCAAGGACCACTGGCAAGCACACTGACGAAGTTGTCCAGACCTGCTCTTCTTTATTGCCATCAAAAAGCCGATTATTTCTGCCGCCTCCCGGCTCACTTAATCGTGGTCTTACATTAGGGTCATGCACTAATAGTAATACCACCTCTGAGTGAAAGAAGAGGAACAACACGATGTAAAAACTGAACAGGTGACAGAAATTAGCCTTTGTTTCTTGGTGGCGCCGGCAAACTGCTGAGCAAGGCCAGTCAGAGTCCACTATGGAAGCCATAGTGCCTTCACTACTCCTGAATGCGCGAAGGGGTGAGCCTGGGAGACTGGAGGGCGACCACAAAGAACGCGACGGCTTATGCGTCGCTTGAAGCAGGTCTTTGGCATTACATCCCCCAGGGGTCAAGTGCTCAATCTACCAAGGCTGAAAAGCCTTTTGGATCCATTTGTTTCAATGCAAATGCTTTTCGCTTCATATATATTTCCATTTTTCAATGCACACAGATCCCTCGAGGCATCTTTTGTCAAGAAATCAAATAAATACTAAGCAGGACACGTTTTCCGGTTGGGAAAAAGGTTTGCAGAATACGACCCTCCTTTTCACATTCGGAATTTAGAGCACTTGAAACGAAGAAGAAAACGAGGGAAGATAACAACCGCGAGCAACGTCAGCCCTCCCTCCAGAAACGAAATAAGACCCTCGCAGAGGATCCCGAAAGTACGACATGCTTAGATTCAAAAGTCTTCCTGCTCGAAGGATTGCGCTTTTGGCCTTGAGTGAAAGAGCAGGACTCGTTCTCCGCACGTGCAGCGTGAAGCGTGCGGATGACCATGTCGTAAATATAGGAGCGTGATCGGCAGTGTAGTTTAGCCAGTGGTGATCAGTCCGGTATTGGGCCTGGGCCTTTCACCTGCTAAGAGCCTGTGAGCGCCATAGATGTTCAGAGCATTGAGAAGAAGTCACAACTGGCAGGGCACATCATCGTTGGGGACTACCCAACAGGGTGAACTATTTGCTCTGTTGGGGAAGAGGGGGGGCTCGTTTTTGTCTTCTGAGAGGAATTCGCGGCGTTGGACAAATTTTCCACGGTTGTAGATTTTTACTGTTTCACATGTGCTAAAAACCCCTCCTGCTAGACAGCAAATTTTCATAGAAGTTTTGGAAAAAAAATGGTAGAATGTTGGAAAAATCGAGGAACGTGGTAGGTAGGAAGGCAGGGAATGCTTAGGGGGGGTCGTACTAAGCCACCTCTTAAAGAGGCGGGGGAAGGGGGTTCGTGCGGACTGTTGGACTCGGAAATCCCCTGCCAATAATGCGCCCTGCTTTTTGGTCACGGGATCCATTTTCAGAACGATTGCATGTTACAGGGGTAAGTGTGGGGCACAAAGATGTAGTTCGCTTCTGCGCGCTTCTAGGAA